TATATAAATTTATAATATATATATAAATTATATAAATATATATAATATATATATAACATAAATATATATAATATATAATAAATATAAAATAAATATTATATATATATATAATAAAATATTAAATATAAATATTTAAAATACAATTAATAATTAAGTAATTAAAATATATAATAGAAAACATAACGTAATACTAGCAGGGAACAAATTCGTGCCGTTTTCGATAATAAACATTACAAGCGGCAGAGGCATTAAATTCTAAGAATTTAACAAAGACAGCGTGTTGTCCTATAATTCGAGGTATTTCGTTCCTCGACGCGGAATCTAAACTCTTCTTGGAAAACGGATCAAAACATGGGAAATAACTTTGTATATACATGTATATACAATATCGTTCGTGTATAAACGTGAGGCTTAAATATGTAAACAGAAAATTGCCTCGGGGAAGGAGAAAGGAGGAAATTTAGTTTAGTTTCGGACGCGGTCAAGATAACACGTGTGAATTCGAGTCGTATCGTGATTTCGTAATGTGTAAAGTGAATAGTGGGCAATATTTTGTCAAACGCGATCTTCCGTGTAACACTTCCGGTGGAGTGAAAGGAGGAGTCAGGATTATGGATCAGAAATTCGAGGCAGATCTCTTGGTAAGTGAATAATTCCAAATTTATTACAAAACGAATAGATACACGATGTACACGATATTTATACAAATGCGTAATTGAATTTCTATTTAAATCTCTATATAAATTTTAATAATACGCATCATCGATTATTCTTGTTTCGAAATAATATGGAAAAAAATTTTCAAAATTAAATAGAAATTTAATTCGTTAGAAAACATCGTACAAAATTATTTGGAATCCCACGTTATGCAATGATGTGCTCTGCCACATTCTCACAATTCCTCGCGTTCGTTCCTCCGCTACGTTGTTCGTTTTATTTCGCGATCCGTACACGAATTATGCCGATTCCTTACAAATTCGAACTTCTTATCGAATCTTGCAAGCAAGATGAAATTTAAGCGGCGCTGACGCTCGCAATTGCGCCACCGTTACTCTCGGCCGACCAACATATTTTTTCGCGTTTATTGCGATTCACCTGACCGACTCGTAATCGGGAATTCGTCCAAGGTGGAGGTCGTTTGAAAAATCGAAAGAATGTTTCCGATGTACTCGGTGGGAAGCTAGATAAATGGCAGGGGATAAGGGAGAATTTATGAGGGTAATGGTAAATCCAGCAGTATGGGGTGCTGAAATATATTCTGGGGAAAATTTGTTGAATTATCTTTCGTAAATATGATGATCGACCGAGGAATACGTATGATTCGTTACAGCATCGAGATTCCTTTTAAGAATTCTTTTTAATCGGACAATTCTTCGTGACAATTCATCTTTTATATTTTATTTCTTGTGATGGGGGAATTTTTAAAAAGATGGTTAGAGTTACCTGTCGGTGATAGGATTCCTCGTTTCCCCGCTGCTCTCGATATCGATGATTTTCGAACACGTTGACGAAACGAGAGTAAGAAGCAAGGAACACGCAAAAATCGAACGATACATGATGGTCACGAATGTAACTCGTGATCACCGGTCGAATCGCGTTTAACATCGACTCCTTCTTGGCTCGAAATGATCCGCGTCGAGATCGATGGACAACTGTACGATTCGGAACTCGATGGATATATTCAAGTTGGAAGTTGCATACATATGTTTTGATATTTTTCTGTTGCAAAATTTGTGGTGTCAGGTAAAATTGAATGTTGCAATTTGTGGTGTTATGTTATCTTACTACATGTGGAACATGGATTAATTAATCGTCGATGCCAACGAAATTACATATGCATATCGTTTCACGTTACGTTATACATATGTTTAGTTAAAAACGTTTCTCAATGAAAAAAAATAACGGCGCATTGCATCAATAATGTATTTTGCACTCGTTATCCGAGAAGGGGATTCGATATTCGTTACAAACAAACGTTTTACAACATCTTTTTATTTAGGTCAAAAAATATAAAAATTATACGAAAAATATTATAAAAATAGAATGTATACAAAATTAATAAAATACATTATTATATTGAAAAGAATTGTTATCCACGAAGAATATTCGTGACTCCGTTAAGCAACATGAAAAATTTTCTTACGTTCGTTATCGCATTTCGAAAAACATTTTGAGCGGGATCTATCGATCTGGTACTGGTTGAATCCCTTTCTCGATCTCCCCTCGCGATCGTCTTATTATAATTCTCGTCCAAATTCTTAATTAACTGTTCCACCGATCCGGTGAAATTTTCCGCTTTGTTTAATCCGTCGATTACCACATTCCCTATCTTTGGTAGACTCTTTTCTATAAGGGACGATAATCCATCATCCTCTTTCTTACTTTTTCTTACGTTCTTCCTCTTACTCCTGTCGATGTTTCCTTTCGGCATGAATTTTTCAAGCGGTATCTTCTGAATCAGCGATTTTTCGACGTCATCGATTTCGCCGAATGTCGGAATCTTTGTGCTCGAAGGTTCGTCCAGATGTTGCAATTCGGATGGTTGTATCTTGAAAAGGGAGAGATTCGAGTGTTATGCAAATTTTAAAAAATGACGAAAAGCAAGATCGTACATGTTCTTAAACCTTACCTTTTCCACGTTGTTATTTTCGTCCATCTTCTCTGGATTCTCTATCGCTTCTCTTTGAACCCTTCTTCCGGATCTTTCCATCCATGGCAACGCCGTTAACGCCGATCCGTGTTTGTCAGAAAGGGATGAACTTAAACTTTCCCTTACCTTTTCTTCTTCCTTACTTTTCTTCGATTCATTTTCCACATCTCTTTCGATTCTAAGAAGAAGATTCTCGTCAGAAATTTCCTTTGAACTTTGCTTCAAACGCGACAAATAATTGTTCGCTTTACGAAGAAAAAACGGAGGCAGAGGCTCGAAATTTTCTTCTTGTCTTCTCGATTCTGTAACGGCGTTTCTTCGTTCCCGTTTTATTTCCATCTTTTTCGAATCTCTTTTCCCGTTATCTCTACTTGCGTTATTCTCCTTCGAAGTCAGCGTCTCAGATATATTTCCACCTTCGATTTGCATTCTTCCTTTCGTAACATTTCGATGACTTTCATCCTGTTGCTCGACTGCTTGTTCATCGAGTACCTTCAAAGATTCTCCCCCATCGGAATTTTCCTCGTTCGCGGAGGCTTCCTCGAATTCTCGATCATCTTCGGCTTCCACGATTTTTTCCGTAATCGGTTCTTGTTTCTCGACGATCGAATACATGAAATTTTCCATTTTATCGTCCACTATGACGTTCCCCGATTTGAGAAGCTCGTCGACAGTTTTGGGATCTAGATAGTCGATGAAATCGTTGAGAAGATTTTCGGTTAATTCTTCTTCGCTCCCGTTTTTGTCCTCGCGTTTGTGCTGCGTCGATTGACGAATCCTGAAAGGTTTGAATATGATAGGCTTCCAAATAATTTTGTATTTTTTCGAAGGGACTTGCGAATCGGGCCTCGATATCCTCGAATTTTTGTACAACTGCAAACGAGGATCCCCTCCTTTGTATTTGGATGGATCGATTATGTATATTTCCTTCCCCTTTGGGAGTTGATCCGATTCTTCCTCCTTGTCGGAATATCGAACGACTTTAATACTGCCTAGATAATTTTGCAGGAGACGATTGTACGTGTGGTTGGGCGTCGAGCGTCGAGAAGATGCCTGTCGAGCAAATTAATTAAATGAAGAAGAAGAAGAAAAAAAAAAAGAAAGAAAAAAAAATGAAAAAATCTCTTAATAAGAATAATTATTTACCCTCATAATTCTCTTCCCTTCGTTCCCTGGATTCCCTTCGTAATAGAATATCCGTGGCCTCTCTACATCCTCCACTAGAGCGAAATAGACTTTGTCTTTCCTCTCGCCTTCCCCTTCATCGGATTCTTCTCCTCTTTTTTCATTTAAATCCTCCAATCGTTCGACATCTTCGTCCAAATTATCGTAAGAACGATCTACGGGATCGCGGAAATTCTTCTCATTTTTCGGGTTAAAAATCCTCTGCCAAGTATTCTTATTCCTCAGAATTTCGGTCACCGGTGCGTCATCCCCCTCGCCAGCCTCGACTTCCCTCTTCGCATCGTACTTCGTCGGTTGATACATCAGTATGTAGGCTAATTTCTCGCGATCGATCATGTCACGAAAATCCTGGCTCTCCTTGATCCTCTCCCACGCCTCTCTTCTCCTCAGATTCCTCTTTTCCACATCCTCCTCCTTGCCGACCGCCTCGCGAACACCTCTCTCGTACTTCCTCAACATCATCTGCCTCTTGTCGCGCAACTTGTCCCGCAATTGTTTCACCTGTTGAGCACGATTCCTCCGATATTCCGCCGCCCCCCTGTCGATCGATCTCGATCTCGGGATGGGGAGCAACACGCGCGATTCCTTCAATTTACGAAACAAATCCCTCAAAGCCTGCAACGTTCTCACTTTCTTCGACAATTCGGATTGTCTTGCGACGTTTAATCTCGCACGTTTCTTACTTTTACTATTGAAATCGGTCGGCCGAGCTTGAGCGGCCGGGCTCCCCACTTTGGCCACCTCCGCTGGCTTTTTACCGAGGAAAAATTGCTCGGGTTTTGTCCCTCGTTTCGAATTTACGTCACCAACGTAATTATCGTGATTGTTTTCGGCTTCTTTATTGATGACAATTTCTTCCGATAAAGTCGTCGTCTCGATAGTTGTCCAACTTTCTTCCTTCGTTGGACCTTCGGTCTCCTCGCTCCCTTCCGTAAAACCTGTAGAATTTTCTCGATCGGGAAGAGTATATCCCTCGTTATTAATCGTGGTGCTGTCTTCCTCGGAGAGAAACTTACTCGCATCGCGTCTCACCGATCTTTCGCTCGATCGATCCTCCCCTTCTTTCGCGTTTAAAATCGTGGAGGATCGTGGATCGGTGAACAACGGCACCTCAAAATGGAGATCCGATCGGCTCTCCAAAACAGGGATATTCGAATCGTGGCGCGGATCTCGAGGGTTGTTCGATTCGATCCGGGAAGACGACCTCGAGTCTCCCACAATCTTGGACGAATCTTCGTCCCTCGTCGATTTTTCTATTTTGGGCCCGCCCTCGAGGTCCGCGAACACTTCCACGTCCGCGAACACTTCCACGTCCGCGTCCTCTTGCAAATTTGCGCGCATTATATCCTTGTCCAAACCAGCAGCGACGAGTTGTTGTTGTTGTTGTTGTTGTTGTTGTTTCGGGGGTGCGAGCGTGTCGACCTCGAGCGATTCCAACGATTCGATGGCGCCCCTTTTCGATCGGCAATCGCAAGCTTTCGAGCGACGGATAACTCTGCAATTGCAATCCTTGGAATTAGCATCGTCCTCTTTGATCATCTCCTGATCGAGTATTACGCGCAAATCCGTCTTCCCCCTTTTCGATCTCTTGTTCCCGAGGACCCAAGGACTCGACCCTTTGAAGCTCGGATCTTGGAAATTGGAAACTTTCTTATATATCGCGCTATCCATCGGCGGTGCTCGTCCAGAGAAGAACGATCGGATGACGGATTCGTCTGGTTGGACGTTAGACGGCGAGGTATACGTGGGTCGATGATTCTTCGGGAAAGAGATGGCCCCCTCGAATTTTTCCAAAGACTTGCTCCTCGTATCTCGAATCGTGCCGTCCGATTCGATCCTCACCACCTCGAATTTCTTCGTTCTATCGTTCCCTCCAACCTCGTACGTTTCCACTTCCCACAGTTCAGGAACTCCTATACTCGCGTCCATTCGATTGTTCCTCGAATTCTTGAAAAATTGGACGGGCTCGTGGTAGAAGGAATGATCATCCTCGTCTTCGTCCCACGCATCAACGTCGTCGATATACTCCATTGTTGAAACTTGCTCCTCCGAATCCTCGAATTCTTCGTCCCTCGTTTCGTAATCGTAATCGATATTTAAGGACGAATCCTCGTTAACGAAGAAATTTTCAGGCTCGAATTGGTAAAAATTGATATCTTCTCCGCTATCCAATTCCAGAAAGCTCGGTTGCCTCTTCTTACTCCTCCCATCCTTCCACCATTCGATCCTTCGATCCCCTCTAGATCCTTCTTCGACACCCTCGTTCCTCGAGAGGCTACTCTCCCTCTTCGAATCGAAAGGGATTCCTCTCTCTTTTACCGATTCTCTCTTGGCCCTGTCCAGTCCTCGCTCCATCTGTCTCGAATCGATCGACTCGTCGGACAGGTTTGCATTCATCAAGAGATCGTAAAGGGACTTCAACGTCTCTTTCACGGTGGTGAACGACTCCGTCTTGTTCTCGTGATCGATTTCCTTCCTCATTGTTTCCAGAGTATTCTGTATCTTCAACATTAAAGATATCACGTCCGTGACCAGGTCGCCGATCGACTTTCTCAACTCCATCTTCGCGTCGCTCGATCCCATCAGATTCCTCAACCGCGACACCCGATCTTTGTACTCTTTCAACTTGCTTTGCACGTCCTCTTGGGACAGCGTGGACGTGCCTTTCCCGTCTTGCTCCTTGGAGTTGGACAGTATTCTCAGTTTCGGCAATGATTTCGCGTAATTGTAATCGTCCAGCTTCTTTTTCACGAATCTTTTCAATCTCTTCAATTCCCTCTTTATGTTGTTTTTATAGATCGACACGTCACCCTTTCGTTTTCTCTTATCGATATCCCTCTTCGAGTTCCCTCTTCCTTGCGAAGATCCAGCAACGCGTGTTTGTTTCGTATTCTTGTTGTCGATCTTGTTTTCTCGCGCAATTCTCTCACTCATCTCGAGCTCTTCCATCCTCGATGTCTCGTTTCTCGTGCAAGATTTTATCTGGTTGAATTACAGGAAATTAGTTTATTTTAGAGAGTAATGTTTGGATATTGGTACGAGTTTGCACTTGTATATACTTTTAAATTGGGGATGATCCAGAAACCGATACCGCCCGACTGCAAACGGAGATCCACGCCGTGTTTCGTGTTGTTCAGAATCTTTGGACGCATCTCGGGGACCGTATCGTTGATCAAAGTCAATAGTTTATCATTCAGGAAGATAGTTCTGGAGGGAAAAAAATAATACAGAACGATTCTTCGATTTTTCGCGATTGATTAGCTCACACTTACTCCGCAAACATTCGATTGGGTGCGTCGAAACCCGGTGTAAGAACGTATTCGTGAATCTCGGTTACGTTAATCCCTTCCAAATCGAACGTGACTTCGCGAGGATTCAAATTCACCCCGAAAATCACGACCGATCCGTCTTCGTATTTGTTCGAGGCGCATTGGCAATAGAGGTAGACGTGATCCTCGTTGCCACTTGGAATCTTCGCGTCGAACACTTGCCCTCCAACGAGACTCTTGTGGAGGAAAGACACCCAGTAATCCTGAAACAATACGTCACACCCTCATCGATTTTCGAAACGTACTTATTTATATATATATATAGTAACTGGGGCTCGTTCTTACTGGAGTTGGATAAGTCAGGTCTGCCGGTTGCCTCATGATCACGTTCACGTTTGCTTTTGCCGAATTTCCTAGTCTTCTCGCCAAGACGAGAGCCCCTATGTACAAATTCTTGCATTCTTCCGGCCTCGATTCGGCTTCGATCGAATATAATAATAATATTAATAATAATAAAAATTGGCAAAAGCTTATTCAATTATTGGTCACTCACCAATCCACAACGGTCGATCGTCTACGAATCGACCTATAGCTTTCAACAATTCTTCCTTATCTTCTTCCAAGTTATCCTGGTGTATGAACGCTCCACCATTATCCAAAGTGATGCTCGCAAGGTCGCTGGAAACGATTTCGAAACAGTGTTACCGACCTGCGATACGTTCAATTTTTACCTCAATATTTATTCCGTTCCGGAAAAAAGCAATAGTAGTAGCGTTTTTATCGAATAATTATCAAGAAAAGAGAAGAGAAGAAAATTTACGGATGCCACGTGATGGCTGAAAGCGCGGGAATGGCTACACTGAAGTAGTCTCGAAGATAATTTAGATGCTTCTCGTTATCGTAAATTATAACATCCGGCCCTGTAACCACGCTGTTCGAATATCTAGGAAATTGGTTCAACGATTTTCGTAGATCCAACGTTTGCCTCGCTAGATCGTTGCCCGTCAGATTGCATCTAATTTGGGGTTCTGCAAAGAGAAAATGGAACTTGAAGATTCCTTCTCCATTGAACATTTCGATATCAATTTACCGTATCCCAGCTGCCAATTGGCGTTAAAACCCATGTGATCGCTGAAAGAAATTATCTCCATCGCATCTTCGCTCCCTTCGATCGTCCTCCTTTGTCGGTCGTCCGGCGAAACGCAGGCGATCACATCCAACCCTGCCTTTTCAGCCCACTGATGGACCAATACCCAATCTGACTCTACGATCACGAAACGCCGTTGATGGAATATCGCGATATATATATATGTAGGAAATGGATAGGAGGAAAAGGTCAGAAATCTCGCTTTCTGGAATCCTGCCTTTTTTCCAATTACCGATTATTCTTTTCAAAGAATGACCAACTTCGTTTGTCGAATGTAGAAAGAACAGGTAGAAGTGATTCGATTCAAAACAGATAGAAAAAGCAGAACTCGGTAATAATGATTATCGCGATGTTGCTAGAAGATTGGAAATGTTTTTACAAAATTTTTCCAATTTTTTTTTTCTTGCAACGAAAGAGTAGAGAAATGAATGGAAAAAATAGAAGGGAACGCCAGTCGTTATCGTACAGTGAAGAGCGACTAAGATTCGAAATTAAAGGATCCTATTTACCCGAGCATCTATTCATTTACCCGAGCAAACATCGGTATAATAACAAGTGGTAGATAAAAGCGATTCAGATGGAAGAAAACAAAGGAATAAATTGCGTGCTACAAGTATCGGATCATGTCGCGCAGAAATATTAAATTACTGAGCTAATTAGGGAGGAGTTAGAGTTTGCGCAAGAATAATCGAGATTCGGAGAAATAACAGGTTGTCCAGAAATAGGTGTCCAGAGCTCGAATGGCCGTGTATATCTACGCGAACCTTCTCGTTACTCTTCGCTAAACACCTCGAGTTCGCATCGTGTACCAACGTTCACCGGTGCATGAAGCATTGTTTGGGTTAATCCAACCAGTTTCCGCAACTGGTTTCTGACCGCGTTGCTGGGAAATTGGCCGAGGAAGATACGCGATGTTTCGTCGTTAATGCGATTTTGGAGGGAAGGAATTCTTCTTCCCAGGTATTTATTACCGCGATAAAGGAGGAGGAAGGCTCTGTCGAAATTAAATCGAAGGGGAATTTGTCGCGAGGGAACGGAGAAGGAAGGGGGAATTGTATGTTTTTTTGAATTTCAATTAAGCTTAACTAAGCTCACCGGATAGCACGATTTTTCTCTTCCTTCCATTTTCTTCGGAATTTTGATCGGCAAAGTGGAAAAGAGTACTGCGTGGCCCTCCGAGTCGCAAATACGCTGGACTCAAAGCTTTCATCAGGTTTACGCTTCTCTCGAAATGAGTGCTGAAATGGCAACGATCACGTTTCGAATGTTAAAAGATTCGTAGATTACTGTCCAGTGAGAAGAGAAGTTTAATCTCTATAGATTTCTCTCGGCGAGAATCGATAATACATAGGTAGGCGGCGTAGAGGAGGGATCGAAATTTAAATTAAAACACGTACACGTTTTATTTCGTCGAAGCGTAGATTGAATTTTGTTTTCAAACGTTATACGCGGAATCGTTCTCAGAGTTTTTTCCGCGTTCTGTTCGTCGCTTTTGAATCGATCTCGAATTGCTTCGCGTTCCTTTCTTCTTCCTTCCTTCCAACGATTCTTTCGTTCGACTGCGCGCGAAATATCGAGCGGGGAAAAATTCGTATACTTTGATAAATTATGAACTTTTAAATTTCGATCGTTTCGATTATCGATTATTGATGGGCAAAAAGATAATGATGAGAACTCGTTATTATAAATACTCGTTATACGTACCTGACCGCATTTCCGGCCAACAGGGTTACCGGGTCGATGGTAAGGCTGAGAAACTTGGGATCGGTGACGGCAATCGGCTCGTTCAAATCGATCCTCAACGTTATTTTCTCGGACGAGCAATTACGAATTACGAGGAGAAGGAGCGAGATGAGAAAAGTTTGCTTCATTTCGTCGCGATCGGATGTTAATCGGATCGACTCGATTTAAATTTCCATTTCAAAAAGTGTGGAAAGTGTTGCGCGCTCGCGGAACGTGTCGCGGCAACGTTTTTATTCGCACTGAGCAACACGATCGTTCGAAAAAATAATAAGCGGTGTCGTTATTGACAAGTGGCACGAGGAGTGGAGGTAGCGTTCACAAGCAATTTTGAA